AAACATGTAATTCAAATAACTTTCCCCAGGAAAGTGCGATCTTTTCAATGTTTTTTTGTTGTTTTTTTTTTTTTCCTTCACATCCCTTACAGCCAGTCACGTGTAATACCAGAAAGAAGTGTAGAACAGCGAAGTCTTTGGTCTCTTCCTTCTAAATATGGAGGGCTTGCTCTTCACTGCCGGTTTCTGAAAGTGTAATGAGAGTAGAGGGAAGGGTAGGGAAGAGAAAGCTTTGAGAGTATTTACCAGACACATGGAAAATGTGGAGTGGAGCTCTGCCTGGTTCTTTGTTGTCGCCAGGATCATCTTGTCTGTAGATTTTTCGGAACAAAAAACTGGTTGCTGTGAGTTGTCTGAGTAAGTTTGGCCAGCTGTGATGTGGAGGTGACTTCTACTTTAAGAATCTCCTATGTCCAGTAGTACGTATAGAAGCCAGGCACTAGTGTGGTCCAGTCATGAGTCACCCTCCTTCTCCTGCTGCAAAGGAGCACAGATGAAACTGATTTCTTTCCAGAGCAATGCTGTTCACTTTTTCCAGCCTGGAAACTTAAGATTGACAATTCAGAGCTAAAAATAGTCTGGCTGGCTACAGGGAGTGACTCAGATGCAACAAGCAAGTCTGCCCTGTCGCCACTTCCAAAAAACCCTGTTGGCTTTTCAGCATGAGTAGCAGAAGCAGGTGGGGAGCCAGTCTGAATTTTAATCTCTTTCCGTCCAGTTGTCGTGTCTCCTGTTGGCACAACTGACTTAAAGAATCAAGAGCCAGTCTCTGCTCTGAAATAATTGGGGAGAGGGTTCTTCCTCCTCTAGGAAAATGCTCTCTGGCCCTGCAGGTAGAGCGTCGGCATACCAGTCCAGCTCCAGAGCTGTGCTGCCTGTGCCGGATATGAAGCACAGACCACAAACCATAGCGTCCTCCTCACCAGTGGGGCGGAGTGGTGACTCACTGTGCCTGTTGGCTTTGGAACAGTGAACTGACTGCAAAGTCTACAAGGAGAAATCTTTATCGGGGCAGTGTTGTGCTGCTGTCACGGTTGTAACAGCTCAGAGCTCTCTGCTGCTGTGTAATTAGATCAGTGCACATACAGGAGAGTAAATCAGAGCACGCGTGAAATCACGTAGCTAACTACTATAGAGCTGACATGTAATGGAGCCTGGACTTTGTGCGAGTACAGAAGCAAGCTAAGCAAAGTCATTGCTGAAAGCTTGACTTTAAACAAGCTCCAAATACATGGTTTGAGCAGGTGATGTTCTTGCCCTGGCCCAAAAAAGGGACTTGCTGTTTATAGTCCAAAACTGATGAACTCGATGGCTTAGTTTGCTTGGTAACTTCGATAACAATAATAGAAGGCAAACTGAGCAGTGACTCTCTTGCCAGGCCTGGCTCTTCGTCCTGCAAGACCTTTATCCAGTTCCTTCTGACTCTCAGGCATGCTTGCAGACTGGGCTTCCATCTGTGGTGCTGATGGTGTTAAGCTCCTCCTGCAGGCTCATAAAATTATTTTGTTTGGGTGTAAACCAATAGGAAGGCTTATTCAGAAGTAGGAAATGGCGAAGTATCTTCCATTACACAACAGTCCCCAACCTTTCCCCATTTTGCAAGCCTAGACTAGATAACATGAAGAGCTAGTTCATCTGAAGGCCCAGGCTGAGCCTGGTGTGGGTCACATGTAGAGAAAAGATCAATCCCTTGGGCAACTAGTTGTGGACTCCATCTGCTTTTGGGATTTGCTCACCCCTGGGTCTGATATCAAATGAATGTGGTGATTGCACAGGTAGGAGGGGTCCTGGTGGTAAGTGCTTCTGTTGATGAGGTGGCTGCAGAAACACTCGTTATCCTGCGCTACGCTCAGGAAGAGAGTGTAGAGACAAAGATTATCTAGATTCACTGCTAAGTGTTGCTTGTTCAGTTGCCCTTGCTGCTTTATTTAGCTTCTGCCTAAAAATCAGAGGTTGATAAAGCTCTTGCCTTTATCAACTGAGTTCTTAGTGCCTTACCTCTCTAGTAACAAGTTACCAGTGAGCTAGATGTTTGCTATGTGGACACAAGCCATGAAGGCTCTGAAATGGGACACTTCTTTTTTTTTTTTTTTTTTTTTTTCCCCCTTTTCTTTTCTCCAGATTCCTGAGTCCCCTGAATATGATTATTGGCGGTCTCGTGGTGGTGCTGGTCTTCATGGGGTTTGTGTGGGTGTCGCACAACAAGGATATACTCCGCAGGCTGAAGAAGCAGTACCCAACCTCATTTGTAGTGGTCATCATGCTGTCTAGCTACTTCTTGATCTCCTATCTGGGAGATGTCATGGTGTTCATGTTTGGGATCACGCTTCCTCTCCTCTGTAAGTATTTTTCCTCTTCTCTGGGCGACTAGGGGCGTGTGACTTGAGCTTTCTCAGACTTAAGTCTGCAGAGTCTGAATTGGCTTTTGCCTTTGCTATCTCTATTTAAGTGACCCCAAAACAAAATTAGGGGGGAGGGGACACAAAACAGCACAAACAATCTTTAAAGTTCTTATTAAATGGGTACTTGCGGTTACTTAAGCGCCGTCACTGAGACTTCATCTTCTTCCAGTGGTGTCATGCCCTTGGAAGGTGTCTTAGGATGAATGCTGCAAGAACTATGCATTCCTCGGGCATTAACAATTAATGAGGGTGTTTGTCATGCAGTGATGTTCGTCCACGCTTCTCTGAGGCTCCGGAACATAAAGAACAAGCTGGAGAACAAGATGGAAGGAATAGGCTTGAAGAAGACCCCGATGGGCATCATCCTGGATGCTCTAGAACAGCAAGAAGATAGTATCAACAAACTGGCTGACTACATATCTAAAGTGAAGGAGTAAGCAGCTGCAACGTGGCATTTTTACCCGTTGCAGGAGTGTAGTTGCTATTTACTATTGTTCAAGCTTGCTTTCAGTTTGTGTTCAAAACGAGAAATGCACGTGGTACAGATTACTAGCTGCAGGATGCAGGTATTCCAGGGTCTTCAGGGCTCCTCTAAGAACATAAGAGCAGCAACTTTTTTTCTATTATATAGCAAAACGTTCTGGTGTTTACACAAATACATACTAACTTAAATGTGTTTGCTTGTCTCTTCTTCCGGGGGGGGTAGAGGAGGAAACCTGTGGAGTACAGTCTCTCAAACTGTCTCGTAGCGAGTCTGTCTACTAAAAGTAACACCCCTTTCATCTCACTTCTACAAGATGGCAGCTTAGCCAGTTTGTGCTGGGTGGCAGCGTTCAAGGTGAGCTGGAATGTATCGAAAGTATCTCTTGGATCCTCCGAAGCCCTCTCTTGAGCAGTCTGTATCGAGGAGACCACGTTGCTAGCTTAACTGGCAAGTGGTAAAACTGTGCGGCACTTGTAACGAACATGGGTTCCTGTCCTCACCTCACATTCCTCCTTTAGCAGCCGGCAAACAGTCTAAATCGATCTAAGCATGAAGAATATATATGGCACTGTGCATCTGTCCGTTCCAGTAAAATGCACCTTTGGTCCCTCTGAAATCTTGATCTGTAGAAACTGCTCCTCCGCAGGAGAGCCGAACTGTCTCGCATACCCGCTAGGCTAGGGCCAAGCATGGGAGAAAAGAAGTTTTCAGCTACCTGGGATGAGCTAGGTCTCTGCCCTGTTGATGTTTTTAAATACTGCTGCAGTAGGACTCCCTTTGCTCTGCTTTAGTCTGTATAGGCTGTTTGGTAGGCGGAGGTGTATGTGTTCTCGAGCGTGGGTCATCTTTTTCTTTCTTCTTCACCAGAATGCAAAGATAAAAGTAAAACGTGCGTCTCGTTGACTCTGTACTTCTGACACTCTTCAAAGGAATAAACTGGATTTCAGGTTTACAAGTAAAAGCAATAAATGTCAAGATACAGGTTTTGAAAACCCATTCCAAATTCATGAAGATATTTGCCTGTAACAACTCCTGAAAGTGGTGTGGGGGATTCTTTTTTTATATGTATTTTAACTTAACTGCCAGCTCTGATGGAATTATCTTGATAACAGGAGCTTACCAACAATAGGGGGGGGAAAAAGTTGTCCAGGTGACACTCCATTTCAAATATTCTTGCATTTCTCTTTTCTAACAAAGTAATTTAACAAAAAAATCAAGGATACTTAAAAGTTGAAGCTTTTATGTAACTTACCATGCTGTTTTCATAGTGAACTGTGTAGAAATCTGAACACGTCATTCCGTTTAAGTGTTAAAGTGATCAGTATTTATTGAAAATGTCTGTATATTCCAGCTGAAGAGTCAATGGCCTGTTCCTCACTTGTAGCGCATGGTCTTTGTTTTTTGAAAACTGTTTCCACACTTAAAGAACGTAGTAGCCTATGACTTCATCATTACTGTAGGATTTTAAAAACTGCACAGTTATGAAGAAAAATAAACTCTAATGGTGATTACTGAGTGCGTTTATTTCAGGTTGGGAACAGGGGTTGGAAGCTTGAGCTTGTCGCTGTTTCTGTGGTGGTGGGAGATCTGCGAGCCCATGCTTGTGATCGGGCTGCTGGCTGTGGATGCTCTGGATCCGTGTTAATTTTGTGGCGGCACGAGGGACCTCCGAGCTGCAGGAATGTTATGGCCTTGCTCTTGAATCCTTACAGAGGCTCCTCTAGAGGTGCAGCACTTAAGACATTTGTTCATGCTGTTTCAGTCTCTTACATAACTCTACTTTACTTAACTGGGATTTTACATTTCTTTTAATTACCTGAGAGGGATTTCTGCTTCTAGGATTACGGGGAGCTGTGCCTTGAGCAGCACGGGGCAGTCAGCTCTCTGTGGTCAAACTAACGGTGCGATCTCTGCGTCTGGCTGCCTCCCTCCTCCTGAGGCTGCTCAGGGGGAGGACATGGATCAGAGCAGGGCTTCACACGTCCTGCTGAGTGTGCCCTGGTCAGGGGTGTCAGCTGCTTCTGGGTGTGGAAAGGTAAATGAAAGCTTGAACTAAGGATGGTGGAGACTACCTTGGCTTCACAGAGGTCCTGGATATTGCTGGTACTCCAGAACTATTACAATAAATGTGGGAAGGGGGAGCAGGGTGGGACTGGGATGTAGCTGCCAGGGAAAGGCTGCTCAGAGTTACAGGCAGGAGCAGGGAGAAACTCACCGAAGGCAATCCTGCAGGAGCTGTGCCTTCTGAGCGAGTGCAGCGGCCGCAGGAAGGCAGGGGATCTTCTACCTCTTAGCAAAGGGAGAGGCTTTGTTCTTTCCCAGCGCCTTACAGCTTTACAAACCAAACAAAAACCTCCAAAACAACTGGTCTCTTGTGGATGTGCTCCACAAGAGCGTGACTTACCTGTAGCTGCTTTACGAAAAAAAGGCTTTGCAGCAAAAAAAAAAAAAAAAAAAAATCGATGTGACTAAAAAAAGGCAGAGGAAAAGAAATTTCACAAAAATATTAAGGAAAAACTAAGTTGTGTATATGCAGGTTTAAGCCCATCATACCCAGCCCTGCCAGGGGTGAGACATGCTATTCACACCCCATACTAGGAGGAATAATGAATTTCTGAAACCCCTGGCAAAGAAGGGGGAAGGCTCATGCCCCTGCCACTGAGGAGGGGTGTGGGGAGAGACCTGAAATGGCATTTCAGGGCGCTCCAGGGTGGCTGTAATTCAGGAATACATCACGGACAGAGGGGGGGAATGAAGATTACAGGTCTCAGAGCAGAGCTTGGCATCATCTTTTATATGCTGATGAGGTACAATAGGAACTAGACTACGGTCTGAAATAGAGGTAGCTTGAAACCGTCAAGCCGAGGCGATTGACGTACCAGAGCAGGGGTTCTGTTCTGTGAGCGTCTTGTTAGCCATGGAAGTGCTGCACACATCTTAGAGAGAGCTTTATTTCATTTCTGTTTCCTTAGCCTAAAAAATGGAGCTGTATACATGGAAACCAAATACATTTCTCATGGACAAGAGAATAATAAAGGAGCACGTGTGTGAAAAGAAAGATAAAGCACAGCATGTTCCTGCAGAATCTGGCAGCAGAAGGACAACGTGGAAGCAAAATAGTTTGCTGACAAACTAGAAAGACAAGGTTGTTGATGCCTCTGAGAAAAATACTCCCACAACAAACTGGAGCTTCAAATCCGCTTGGCAGACAGATGGCACCGGGATTGTTTGATACCTGATGGAAACGCTTAGCACTGACTTTTCCCATGCCAGCCGTTTTCACCGCACTTAAAGTGTGTATCGCAGGCTTTGTTCCCAAAGAGTCGTATATACCACCTGGGTTCTGCAGAAAACATCTGCTGAAACAGTTGTAAGCAAAACATGAATAGTCCTTATTCCAAGTTGTTTTCTTCGGGTCAGTCTGGTCTCTCACTCCAGCTGCTTTGGCAATGGCACCTGGACAAGGACAGCAAGTATTAGGAGGAGGAAATTTCCAGGTCGTATTTCCCAGGCCAGTTCAGTTTAATACAAACCTTCACAAACTGTAAAAAGATCGAAAATTCAACTGCTGGGAGCCCCAGGGAGCTCTGGTTGGGCTTTTTGTGTGTGTGTGCGTGTGTGTTTGTAATTCCCCACTTGCTGTTTGTGATGCTTAATGCCCAGTAGATCAATTGGCAAGCAGCAAGTCCTGCCACAGAGCGGATAAACGCCCAGCGTGGCTCAAGCAGCAAAATCCCATTTCAGAGATGAAGCTGAGGATATTGAGGCAAATAATGATTTCCCGAGATCACACAGGCAGGGGAGAATAACACCCTAGTGCCCCAACTCCAAGCTGATGACAGAGGACCAAAAAAAAAAAGACAACCCAAACAAAAACCAACCCCAAAACGCCAACACACGCGTTCATTGCTTCGTCTTTCCTTGGGCTGTGACAGCAACTGTTACCTGGCCTGTTTAGGATGGACGACGAATTGATCTCTCCAGCCCAAACCCCACAGCCCTCCTTTGTGAAAACTCTCCTGAGGATTTGGGGGGGAATAGCTGGGGTTCACTAATGTTCCCAGGCACCCAGCAGCACCCAGGTTTCTTAATCATTGCTGTGCAAAGTGAGGGCTGTGCCCAGCACCATCGTCTCCATCTCCCTGAGAGGAGGGGAGGCAGCCGATGCTGCGGAGGCCCAACCTGCCATCACCGGTACCGTCTTGGCGTGTACAGATAAACCGTGACCTTTGGGAGAGGGGGTCTTGTCAGCTTAGACATGATACTGAAATGCAAACCGTAGACTGAGATCTAGAAAGGCCAGAAATGGGGAGGAGAGGCCATGGCTGCCACCGAGTCGGACTGGCCAGCAGAAACCACAGCCCCAAGACTTGGTTTGGGGGCAGAACGTTCACATTAAATCTGCACCAGGGTCACTGCAGGACCCGGCTCTGCCAAAATTTCAGGACAAGCTACTCTCTCTGGAATTACTGGAGGAACTAATATTTCTGTGTAGGTATAAACGAAAGCAAAACGTGGCCCACTATATTAAAATATCAGTATTAAATAAAATATGAAATACAAAATACTACTTGACCGTTTTTCATTGCAAAGGATTTTTCTGTCCTCTTCCTCTAGCCTTAGCAACACAAACAGATGCCCCAACGTCACTAGCTACAAATAGATCAGTCAGCTTTTAGTATTTCTTGAATAATGGTCCATTGCGAAGAAACACAACATTTCAGGAAAGCAAAAGGTTAAATCTGGTGGCGTTTTGAGAAGTGGCCCATGAATTTGGCACCCAAGTAAAAGCATCACCAAGAAGCAGTTATCACCGTTTGGGACTTTCCCCTCACACTAAAGCTTCTGATTTCGTTTAAACCAGCCCAACCCAAGGCGGTCCCGGACCACGGCCGTACCCCAGACCCTCCTCACTTCCCGCAGCCTTGCCCCAGCGGGCGTGCGGCAGCGCTGAAGGAGCGCGGCTCCTCGCCACGGCCAGCCCGGGGCTCTGGGCACCCACCGCGGGGGCAGGGGAGCGTGGCCAGCACGTTACTGGAAACCCAGTTCCTGCCTCTGTGCAGTTCCATAAGCGACCTTGGGGGAAATACTTTGCTGCCGGTGTTTCAGTTTACCTGTTATCAAACAGGCCAAGGGGCGGCACGTAAGGCGAGAGCTAAAGAAAAACACAGCTGCTGAGAAGAGAAACATGGTTTTTATGGGGCATTGAGGACAGACTAGTGTAAAAAATAATACCTGTTCTCCTGTAACAAAGATCTTACGATAGCATTCGCCTGTCGTAGCTAATAAGCTATTAGTAGTATCCTAACGTGGAGTTTCTGCGGTTTTATCTACCTACTGAGTGAGTTTCCTTTCTTTTACCTTTATGGATGCACACAGGGATGTGCGAGGCTCGCTGGTCGCTCTCATTTCCCTGTTC